TCTATCAGTGGCTCTCAGACAGGGTCATTGAAATGATCAATTAATTTGCGACAAATTATTATAAAGGTGACAGCAAAGGATGTGGTTTCTACCAATAAAGGGAAGTTACTGTGTCCTTTGCTCTCAGCCCCATTCTCTTGTTGATAAGATTGTAGAACATAAAGTTTCCCCTGTCTGAGCTGTGTGGGTTGAAAAGTTCCAGGATTAAAGTTTCAGTAGTGTCTAATAGTTTAAATACTAAGACTACTACTAGCCCTAAAATGCCTGAGAACCCCTGATTTTTAGTACACAATCACATTAATACCAAATGATCAGTCCTAATGAACTGCTTGTGCAGATTTATTTTTGTCAGGGCAGGACAACACAAAACATCTGTTGACAAGAGGGATAAACAAAGATGTTCTGTTTTGACAAGATTAAACACTCAGTCTTGAAAAAAAAATGGGCCTCTGTGTGACAGTCTTTGCACATTAAATGAGGGTATGATAAGCAGTTTGGTGTGTTAAAATGCTACGAACAACGCAAAAGGTGCTTTATTTGATTATTTTTATCAATTCATTCAGAAATGCAAGAGAGGTGTAACAATTTATTTCTACCACTAACTAGTAGAAATAAATTGTTTTAAGCCCAGCTTTACAAAGTAAAGGAGCTAGTGAATTATATACGATGGAGCAAACCACTTTGTTTTGATTCCCCGGGGAATCAAAACAATTATTTAACTTGTATATTTATTTTTACAGTTTTAAGAGAAAACTTATTATCTCCGAAAAAAATAAATAAAAGTGGTGTCTGGACCCTCTTGTTCACTCATGGCTGTACTGGGTGGTGCGTTTAAATTTTTCTAGTCTGGAAAAAAAAGATCAGAGTGAGACGTCTTTGCTGCTGTTCCGGTTCAGGTGTGACGATGAAGTGACCCACCTGGCCAGGTAAAGTACTGGCAGCTCATCCGGCTCTCCCTCTGCTGGCATGTGACGCTGTTGTCCATTCACACAGATCTGAGAAAACCCGGCAAAGTTCCTTTCAGTTCAGGAAACAACTATAATTCTTCACCAATTAAGCCGAATTTTAAAGCTCCTCGGGCATGGATAAATTAAAGTCGGTTCTGAGCGGTGAGGAGGCGCGCAGAGATGACCGGAACGTTTTACAGGTAAAGCCCTAATCCCATCTTTCACTCTTGTGGCTAGTAATCTCAGCTGGATCATTAATCGATCGTTTATTCAATCTCTATGCAGCAAATGAACCAAGCTTCGACTTTAGGCTGGGGCACACGTATAAAGGGATTCATCGCCTGCTTCGTGGTGGGAGCCGCATGCACAGTTCTGGTAAGAATTTAATTTCTGTTTTTTTTGTTTGTTTGTTTGTTTGTTTTTCTACGACAATATTCAGTCGCTCTCCACAACGAGGAAGAGCTCAGAGAAAGCTGGTGTTGCCCTACTGGTTCTTCTTGCTCTGAGGAATGCTGAAGATGTGATGCTCTTTCATTTGGCGACACTGCCTAGTCCCTCCTTAAAGTGAGGCTTATAAAACATGACGTGTGATCCACCTGCATTCACGTGTGTCTTGCAGGGAGTGTGTGCGCTCTTCCTCCCCAAGATTGGGATCACTCTCTTTATTGTCTTTTACACATTTGGCAACATATGTGCTCTGTGCAGGTTAGTGATGAAAAAATACCTTGAAATGGGAAGCTTATTTTGCATGTTTTACACACTTAATACATGCTTTTCTTTCTTGCACATTTCACTGTGTCCAATAGCACAATGTTTCTGATGGGCCCAATGAAGCAGCTGAAAAGGATGTGTGACAAAACAAGAGCGCTGGCTACTACCATTATGTTGGTAAGTGCAAAAAAATAAAAATAAAAAATCAACCCCCAAAAGACAGAACACGTTACACAAACATGAGTGGACTGAGTTCAGTAAATTTAGATTCATTGCAAAAAATCTGTTTTCCTTAAGAGTTCAAGAGCTGGTTAAAGGTGAAAGGATTGCATAACACAGCTTTCTGCTTAGAGGATTGCATGACAACAACAAGCTAGAATTCAGAAAACTTGGTTGTGGATGGACTGACAAAAATCAGACCCTGATGTGCAAACGTCTCTCTTTAAAACTACAAGATTTGTTGTGATGGAAGACTTGCAAAGAGGTGCAATTAGGTTACCATCCTCTTTCTTTCAGTGCAAGGCTCAGTATGCAAATATTTAAACTACATGTAGGTAAATAATTAAATCAGACACTAATGTGACACCTGTGTTGTAGATCTGATGATTTTCCCAGCTTTAATGTGGTTATGAGCATGGCCATGTCACCTATGTAATGCCCAAGCATCATACTTTGCAGTTCTGACATATACAACTGGAATCAAGGGTATTATAGTTAACTAACAGGCCCTAAGAGATGTTAGTGCAAGTGAGGGAGGTCATCACTGGGCTGAGACAAAACAACATCAGATAGAAACCAAAAACTTTAGGAATAGCCAAATGAGCAAACTGGTAGAGTCATAAAAAGAAGGAATGCACTGACTCGCTCAGCAAAACCAAAAAGCCTAAAAGAAGACCACAGAAAATATAAGACAGATGAAACCAGGATGACCTTGTACCAGAATGAATGGAAAGGAAAAGAAGGCGAGAAACAGCTCATGATCTGAAGTGTACCACATTATCTGTAAAACATGATGGAGGCGATGTTATTGCATGGGCATGTATGGCTGCTAGTGCAACTTGGTTACTGGTGTTTATTGATGATGTGAGTGTTGATAGAAGTTGCAGGATGACCTGTGAAGTGTGCAGGGGTATAAACAGTGCAAATGGACCCAAAGCAAACTGCACACTAACCCAACAGTTTCTCAGGAAAAGAAATGAGAAAATCAATAGAGCATGCTTTTCAGTTATTAACTACATAACTGAATGCAGAAAGATTCACAAACTAGGAGTAAATAAAGGGAGCAGCAGCAAAGGTCTAGCAGAGCAAGACAGAAGGGCCGATGGCGTG